TGCGGCCCCGCTGGTGACGGCAGGTTCTGACCCTCCCTGTGACCGCTGGCAGCTTCCTTGACCCCGCCGCGGAGTTTCGGGAGGCCATGGAGCGGCACGGCCCCACTCGTGCGCTGCCCGAGGAGATTCGAAAGGTACGAAACGGTGGAAGTACAAACCCCCCATGTTTGGAGAGCGGATGCTACAGGGATATTTCACTGGCCTTTGAACACTGGTACACTTGGGGCCTGGTTTTAGACTGGGTGTGTTCTGTTTTTTGTCGCTATATGTGAAGTGTAGCTACCCACTAATGCTACAGAAACACTGTCGAGGAACATACTCGTTCTGTAAGGGTCTTGTCACTGCTAGGTGACTTCCAGGTTTGGCCCCATGTGGCATGTTTTGTTGCTGTAAGTTTGGAATGACTGCAGAGCATAACATGTGACTGTTCCAAAGGAGTGTCAACACAAGTAGGAGCAGAGCATTCCCCTTCATCTCTTCTCTTTGTGCATGACGCTGTTCTCGTGTTTGGGAGACAGATTATAACAACGCTGCTGTTTATAGGGGTTAACTTTTGGGGAGGCTCTTTATATGTGGTGATGCACACGAGTGGAACACGAGTCAGTTTTTGCAACACTATGAAGTTTTTGCAACACTATGAAGTTTTTGCTTTGGCAATAAACCACTCTGCTTTCCTCACTTTTTGGTATGTGTCTAATAATCAACAAGTAATTTGGAAGTTTTATGTACTTGGGCTTGCACAGCCTGGAGAAATTCTTCCTGGAATAGTTCAGGAAACTGTTGAGACAATTTCTGAGCCATCAATGATAGTTTTTGGAATTCAAGGATGGGTAAGATGGCCAAAGGAAGGGAAAAGGAACACCTGCCCTTAAAGAAGAGGCAGGGAAGAACCTGGGAAACTTACAGACTTGTTAGCAGCTGTTTTGTTAGCAGGAAAGATACCAGAGATGTTTGTTTATTTAGAAATTAGTTGGCAAGCCTCAACAGGATGAGGTGGTTAGCAAAAATCAGTGCAAGTTTCTCAGAAAAAACAGTTGTGCCACATTGTTCGATGAAGTGCATCAGGGAGTTGTTCCGAATCTGGTACTGCTCGATATTTCCGTTAATGACTTCAGGCTGTAGTTTGGTGGCCCTTCAGCTGCCTGTCTTTCCTTTGGACCAGTTCCTGATCCGTGTGCTACGCGTACGCCAGCCCGAGGAGGAAGCAGGTGTGAGTGCAGGCACAAACTGAGACCAGAAAGGGGGTGACATTATTTCTTTCAGTTGGAGTGCTGGTTTTCATTGAGCTGGGATCTTGGATTATACTAAGGAATACGCTGATGCCAGGCTGGGAGGGTTTGTTTAATGCAAACAGGATGAAACTTTACATTCTTAGTAAGAATAAGGCATATTTAAAAAGAGTAAGTGCAGTGCATCAATACAAAATACGTAGTAACTGCTTAAGTTTCCTTGGCACTTGCCAGAACTAGCACTGAGGTCTATAATCAGGTCATAAGCAGAATAATATTAACAAACTGATGTTACAAAGAAAATAAGTATTAAATGCGTCGGTATAGGAATTGCACGTGAAACTTGGGCCTTCGTTATTCCTCGGTTCAGGGCTGTTGAGGTCTCAGTTCTGAGCTGCAGGCCGTAAGAAAAATAACGTGACTGATGGAAATCTAGGAAAAGGCAAAAATAGGAAAGAGCTTAATCCTGTTGTTCTGGGAAAGGGTAATACAACTGGGTTTACTTACTCTAGAAAATGAGGTGAGGGCACAGTAACAGCATTCACATGTGTTAGTAAGATGGGGATTGTCCTTCATCTCCAGCTGCAAATTAACCTTATCCTCCCCTTTCTGGGCTTGCTTTGTTCGAATGTTGTGGAACTCTAGGTGGGGGGGGTGGCTGAGCACCGGAGCAGCTCCCCCAGGGGAGTTGTGGAATTCCGCCAGCGGCGCTGTGGGGGTCAAGCTTTTGCTTTGGCGTGGAGCACTGGGCAGGCAATCTCTTGACTTCCCTTTCATTCCTGCAGTAACACCTTTGCCCAGAAGATCTCTGTGCAGAAGGCACATCAGTACTTCTAGACGTGAACAGGCTTATGTTCCTGTCCCGTCCTACCCTGCCACCTCCGTGTGAGCTGTGAGCTCTGAGGCAACGACAGCCCAAGATTTGGGGATCAGTTACGAGCTGGGGTTTTACATGTCCTTTGCTGCTGCTCATCTCTTCACTCAGCTGACTCGCGTTGTAGCTGCAGTACAGTTACAAGATGCAGAGCTTGCTTACAAGTCATTCTCACAATTTCCTGTCCTTGTATTTTCTACCTTCCATGCGCACATGTTCCTATTCCCTTCACATTCGCCACTTCTTGGATTTTATAGCCTCTCTTTTGGAGTCTTTCTCTTAGATCGCTCCTCACATAAGCAGAATTTGTGGCAGCTGCAGATTGCTCTGCCAAACCGAGCACGTGCTCCCAACATGCAGCTTGCAGGCCAAAGGGCCGTGTGTGTCTGGAGGCAGTATGTCAAGCCTTGTGATTTCTGCTGCAGAATGGAGAATATTCGCTTGCTAGGTGCCATTCTGAGTTGGGTTGTACTGCTGGCAACGGGTCAAGCGGCTGTCTCAAAAGAAAGAATGCAGACCAGAGCTCTCGTCGTTCCTCTCCTTCGTGATCTTAGCGGATGGAGGAGCTTCACAAGGTGTTTATCAGTGCTTGGGGCTGTGACATAGCTGCCTCAAATGGCACTCTTCTAGAGGATAGAGCCAGGAGGGGAAGGGGAAGGGAGCACCTTGGGTTGACCTGGAACAGCCAATTCTGCAGACTGTTCTGCTGCCAAAGTCAGCCAGGGAGGAAGACCCGTTAGAGTAAAGCCATGGATGACGTGGCAGGAGTTGATATAAATTGACACCTGCTGGGTCCAGCAGGTGTTGTGCACTGTGTTTGTTGAATTTTAAAGGAAGTTATAATCTAGAGGGGAAGAGATTTCTGTGTATTTTGTTAATGGAATGATAAGTGTGAAGGGACTCTCATAGAATTCGTGGAAGGGAAGAGCTAAATCATGGTTTGTTTCTAAAAAATTTTAAAAAGCCCCCGGAGCTGTGCCTTTAGCAGTTTGGTTACCTCGCTGAGCACGTTCGGCGATGTTAGAAGTCAGCAGAAGTCCGCTTTCCCGGCAGGTTTTGAAGGAAGCTGTGCCACACGGCGTGGTGCTGATGGCAAATGGGGAGAAAACTGCGGTTGGTTTGGCAGCAGACACAGGAGAACCTCCCGGGAGCGAAATCACTGTCAGTCAATGGCAAAGCCACAGCCATCTGCGACAGTTTTGGGGGAGAATATTCCCTGCTGCTTAGCCTTGTTTTAGGCACACACTGTACAAGCCTGGGTGACGCTTGCCCATTTGGTGTGCCGGTTAGCAGGTGGTTTAGGCAATGGAGTAAGCTGGTCTGCTTCAGTGGGGCGCTACGTTCTCTCGTGAAGTGGGTTGTCCCAGGACTGCCGAAGGGACTCTGCAGAGACCACTGGCTTGTGATGCCTACGTTTTCATGTACTTACATGTCTTGGTGTTTATGCCATCCAGCTCACTCGGGGAGGTGTCACAGAGCACAGGGTGGTAGAAAAGAGGTTAGCGTATCCTTCACTCCAACATTATGGATGTGTATCTCTGGGGAGTTATCTTTTTGTTGTTTGGGGAGGGGGTTGGTTTGCCGTTTGGTTGTTGTTTTTCCCCTCAAGAGAAAGAAGATTGTCGTATCGTACATTGTTAGCTGTCTGTTGCTAGCAGTACACAAATCTCTTATATGCTTGTGAACTTCTTAAAGTTCTGTGTTTGTTTCAGCGTGTTGTTGTCCACTCAGTGTAAGTAGATGGGAAGATGCAGTTTTTCCCTGAAGATCTTGCTGAAATGGGAAACAGAACAGCAGCCACCTACATAAGACAGTAAAATGACCCCGAGTCCTCAAAGCAACCAACAAAAAGTTGTATTTGATTTTATATATTATTTGGTAAATAAATAACTTTGGCCATAAATAATAAAATTAACTGAGCACAAGATACCCCTACACGTGAGTACTTCTCTCACCCTAGGAGCTTAAGAAAGCAAGCAGAGCAGGAACTTTGAAGCTGTGTTATCCATCAGTACAGAACGTTCCCGTGGTGTCCAGCTCGCCACAAAACATCACGTACGTTACTAGTAGCGAATGGTTACTCATTAGATTTGCCACGTGTGCTTTAGATTGAGCACATTATGGTATCTTTATGAGCACTTTGTGCTATCTTTAACTTTTCTTGCTGCCTTTGAACCTCGGGTTATTTTTTTAATAGGTTCTTGCATAGTTCCAGTTGCGTTAATCGGCTACAGAATCTGTCCCCTCTGCAGAGATGAA